GACTACAACATGTTCCCCAGGCGGTTCAGGTGGAAATATATTGCCCCCCCCCCCTCCCACCCTGCAGGGCGAGTCTCCCAAATTTAGGCACATGATTCCTAAAAGCCCGGACTCCGGTCAGAGTTAAGGGTCCCCCATCCCACAAGCCAATAACGAGGCTGGGAAGGGTTCCAGAGTCGGAGATGTATGTGGCCAGGTTTGAGGGGCTCTGTATTGCCCAAATGAGGACTAATTCAGACCGAAGACACCATTCAAAACACTCAACAATGCCGACCAATCCTTGGGTCCCATTTTGTGACTTACCATGCAAACTGTAGGTCACCATAGCCTCCCAGTCTTTGGGGTTCTCCATGTGGGGCTCCTCAGGCTCGGCGCCCTCTACGAAAAATCCAGTTGACAGACGCATGAAAACGGATACCGGAGGTACGTCCCCCCCCCCGCCCTCCAAACCGATGCCACCACCACCAGTCTTTTCTTGGGGTTCCTTCGCCTCCTCCGGGGCCTGACCAGCTCCAGGCTCATTAATGAAAGATAGCCCCCACTCATTCTGGAAAATGGCCCCTAGGTTCTCTTGGTTGACGGGAGAAGGAGGTGTGGAGGAGAGAGAGGAGCAGGAGGAGGAGGAGAGAGAGCTTGTGGATTGAGTGGGGGCTGCGGAGGAGCTGTCGCTATTAAGTCCCATAGTATTTAGCACGCAGCTCGGAGGGGTATTGGAGGTCCTAACAGCAGAACTAGGCACCAGTCCTTTGCCATCCAGGTTCTCTTTCACCTTGCTGGCGTAGCTAATTTTGGGAGAGGTTCTTGCGCTGCTGTTGTCCACGGGAAACACCGGCAGCGGCTTAAAGAGCAGCCAGCTGTCTGTGGTCTGCTCCTTCTCTGTCGGGGGAGAGGACTGTCGGGAGACTCCTTGGTACGTTTTGCTCTTCTCCCCCGAGGTCTGCTCGGGCCTAGCCTCTCCGCATGGGCTGCTCTCTGTCGGGTTGTAGGCCTCGCGGGTCCTGGGACGCTGCATGTGGGGCCCCCCGCTGGGCCGAGGCACCCAGGCTTTACGTTTCCCGTCGCGGTACTGGTTCTCATAGTCCCAGTAGCCTTTGCGCTGGCTAGTGTAGGAAGTGCGGTGGTGGTGCGAGGCGTAGTAGTTGGGATGGTAGTGGTTGGAGGGGGAGCGCTGGTGCTGCCGTCCAGACAGGTCCTTTTCGCACCCGCGCAGGTGACGGAGGTTGAGGGAGTTGGAGGGGCTGAGGGGCACGCTCTCCTCCGTGCGTCCGGCCAGAGTCTCGATTTCTGGGACAAATCCGTTAGAATCCCAGGAACCTAAAAAAGGAAAACAAACAGGTGACTATGAGGTGCAATAAAACTATTGGAAACAATACAGGTGCCAGCAAAATCCCAATTGTTTTTAAAGCCCAACTCCTGTAGGTCCCCCTGATGGTCATACACAAAAGATGGTCATACACAAAATGGAGGGGGGCAGATGCCACCTGGACAAGGCGATGCAGACAGCAGTAAGAACACCTAACCCCCATACTTCCTAAAATGTGTTTTGTCTGTGTCCCCATTGCAGAGATTTTCCACAACTTCCTGTCCCGGCAGCTCCCGAAGAAGGACCGACCACAAGAAAACACATAAGGTAACCCTCTCCTGACATCAAATGTTCACCTGGATGGTCATTTTTGTTTTATAGAACATGGATGACATACAAACATGTGATTAAGGATCCACACACGCCTATGAGCTTCCCATGCGTTGACATGCCTTGTGTTCAGACGGCCCTTTCACTCAGAGAGGGACCTTAAAGTGACCTAAACCCAGGAATGCCAATGTCATATATCGCAGCTTACCAGTCCTGAGATGTGGTGGCTGCATTCATTTTCTTCTTCAGGCTTTACCCATCCCCCATCTCCTTTAATTCCACCTTGTGAATACCACACGTCCTGCCCTGGGCCCGGGGTAATAACTCCCAACTTGCTGTACTGTATCCTGGCTGTCACCCGTTACCAAAAACTATGGAATAAGAGGACAAACCTAACCAGTCCTATCAATTTGTATCCAATCAGATTGACCCTTGTACTACAATGTTCAGGGGTGTAACTACC